GATACAAACAGAACTCTTTTTGACAATCTCATCAGATTATTTTTAAGCACATTAGCATTTGAGAGCCACCAATCTAAATTTACAATTGAGTGGAATCAAGTGTCACTTATATAAAAGAAGGTCCATTCAAAAGCAAGTTTCAATGAATGCTTCTCAAAAGAAAAAAAAATGATAAAGGAAGCTAACAGAAAGATCATCATTTTAATTATGCAGTTTTAAGTTTCTCCCAAAAGTGCCATATAGAAATTACTATGATATAGTTTCTGACCACTGTTCTGCTCTCCTGTCTACCCCTCAGCATCATTTATAATTGGGGAACAACTTCAGGACCACAGGTGGTGCCAACTGCCAGGCACCTCTCAGTGCAGCCTTGGCTGAAGTTCTTAATTCCTCATCAAAGACAGAAGAGCATAAGAAAACAGGACTGAAGTATCTGGAAACCTTCACTTTGATGGTAAATAGGTCTTTCATAACCTCTGAATGTGTCCTATCCCTCCCCACTTCCTCTATTGAAACTTTAGGCTCTGTCTGCCAGGAAAAGAAAAGCAACAAGCAAATGATGGACAGGATCCAGTTTTGTTTTGTTTTGTTTTTTTCTGAAATACTAATGAGGTTGACGCATCCAATAAAAAGAAAAGTAGAAAAAAAGAAGATAGAAGAGACTTGAAAACCAGCTCTGCCATTAAATTTATTTCAATGCATGAACACAGTACAGTTAGAATCCATTACCATATAATTCAAAGGGCCAGAGCGCAATGCAAAATAGGTTTTCTTTACTCAGAAAAGGAAAACTCCTGACTGTAGAAAGAAGGAAAACTCTGAAGCCCCCCTTCCTGCCCTGGTTAAATTTCAGATAGGGGTCAATTTACTGGTTCTGTCATTTCAATTACTAGTATTTGCTCAAGTAAAGCAATCTGCTCAAACTTGACACTGAAGTTCATTAAGAGATAACAGTATTGAGGAAAAAAAGGGGAAAACTTGGAAGGTCATCAATCCAATTAAATAGAGAATTCTAAGAGCCAGACAGCTATTATATTTTTATATTATAAAAATATCATAGACACATTGAAATCTTAAAGAGTCCCCAGCAAGAAGTAATTCTAGTAATATTTATTAGTTTAGTTTATGCTTTATCTTTATTATCTTAGTTACTTACACATATGCCAAACACAGTAACAGGTCTCACAATGTTACTGGGCCAGCTTGAGCAAATCGGATCGGTGAACAGTGACAGGAGGACAGTGACAGTGATTTTCACATAATTTTGGTGACAATTTGAAATAATGAGTATCAGACATATTAGAATGCTGTTAATTCTAGCATAGCTATATAAAAATTTTAGGATTTCTTGTAAGCCATGCTTGAGGTTTAGGTGCAATCTTAATGGCACAGTAAACTAAATACTTGACTAGAATAACGTTAGCAAGACTATAAGTTCTCAAAGGTGTGGTTTTTTCTACACCAACTTCATTAACCCCCAAATCATCCTCATAGCCATAATTTAAGAGGTAGTGTATAATCACGTCCCTATTATAGAAACTTCACCTGCAATCATCTCAGTGAAATAAACTACCAGTTTTAACGGTGATTCATCTCTAAAGAATGTTATCCTTGCAAGGTACCTTCTGCTTGCTTAGATTTCCTTTCCTTCACTTTCTTTAAAAATCCTCTTTAACCTCATAAATTTTGTTCTACACCCCATTTCTCTCCTCACTATAAAAGTTGTAGAGTTCTATTCATTGCTTGTGCTTGGTGGCCCAACAAAATATCCTTGTTCTAATCCCCAGTACTGGGGACTGTTACTTTATATAGCAAAAGGTAATCTCATGTACATGCGATTAAAATAAGGACCTTCAGATGGAGATTCTCTTGGATTATCTATGCATATTGAATCTAATTGCATAGATCTTTAAACTTGGAATACCATTCAGGTATCATCACAACAGAAGATGAAAGAGAGAAATTGTGTTACACATTCAGGCACTGATGATAAAGAAGTCAGTCGCAAGAGTGGGAAGCCACCGTATGCTAAAATCCCTTATGAGAACCCTCCCTGAAAGAACCCAGTCTTGCCCACACCAAGTAAGATCCATATGGCATTTGTAATTCATAAAATTATAATAAATGTGTTTTGGTTAAACCATCCGGTTCATGGTAATTTGTTACTACATCAATAAAAATAAATACTTCCGTACCTCCCAATCCTTTCCCAAACTAAAAGCTGGCATTCCTAGGACTTTTTTCCAAAGACTTCTTCCTACTCACTCTTCCTGACTTCAAGAGGCTATTTGCATATTCACAAAAGAGTTTCAATTCTGCCTTCATTTCAGTGCTCCTGAGTTTCAGAATCTGCGTCCCAGTCAACAGCAACCAGTTTCTCTAGATTATGAAACCAGTTCAGAGTAAATGAAAAGCAGCATTTCCATCAGTTCTTCTGGGCAAGGACCATTATCTTCATTATCTTCATCTTGTCCTTCCCACAAAAGCCTAAAGTCAAGGACAGTTGTGCTTTTCTTTTACTTTCCCAAAACTTAATTCTATTTAGGTTTGCAGCAAGAAGGTACATGCCTCTGAGGACTAGTCCAAGAGAAAATTATTGGTCACTCTGGCACCCACCGTTCCATAACCCACTCTTTCCAAAAGTGTGTTTCCCTGTTCTCTTTTTCCATAAAAAAACTCTTTTTATGAACATGTAGGCAGGATGGTTACTCAGAGGACAAGTCCATCATCTTCCAACCTGCAGACTTGTTGCCAATCAAGTTTTTTCTTTTCTTTCTTT